AAATGGTCTCTAGAGGTTGTTACATAGGCTAAAAGTGGTCACCATTCATGTCCTTGATATGACATGATAAACAGCTAAACGAAGCCTTTCTCTCAAATTTCCTAAGTGTATTGTGATACAACTCGCTACTGCATGACCCGTGAGGCAAACCTGTCTCAATTAACATAAAAGAAAAGCTAAAATTGGATAGAAAAAATATATAATTTAAAAACAACGTTTCACCACTGATAACGTAGCATCATCAGCAGTGATTTAGTGGCGTATCAGGAAAGTTCTAATTCGTAACGAGACCTTGTTACGTGGCATCTCACGCGAGAGAATGAATGCTTATATGTTTTTCATTGCATTTACTGAATCCGGATGAAGAAAATGACATTTTGCAGTCACAGCGTATGCAAAATGAGCATTCCAGACGCCCTCTGGTGACCATGGATTCGTGTTTCCGAAGTTTTCGTTGGTATATCAACGAAAAAAATAAAACGAAGCGACGAATAAGAAACTTTATAAGAACTCTACGTATTACAGTGTACATGTGTGTGTCTATATATATACATATTTTTTAGGCTCTCTCATTATCACTTTGAATTAATAAACGCTGAAATGCTTATGTCTAGAAAAAAAAGTACAACAATGCCGAAGTTTTTATTAAGTGAATTGGATTTGAGAGAAAAGAACTTTTATTTTGGAATTAATCTAAAATGTTTTAACAGAAATAGTTTTGAAACCCGCCATCCAGCCAACCGACAATATCAAACTTTATCGTTTATTAAGTGTGGCTCTTGTGTTTTCCTCATTAATAATCTTAACACATTTTCAGATATAAACTATAACAGTTACATCTCTATGTCAATGAATTTTCCTGGTTATTTAGTATTTTGTTTTAGAAGTTTAGATATGAAATATCAGAACACTTAACTTTGTAATTAAAATACTAAGTTGTTGAGATAATAATATATTATATTTTTGCCTTCTCTCTAGGCTACAATCAACAGTCAAGGCATGGTGTACTCTGTTATTATTCTTTTCTTAATTATCATTATCACAGTAAGTATTTCTTTTGGGCTGTTTTATATAATAAAGTTTGTTTCACAGAATACAGTAAAACCATTTTGTGTTGATGCTAATTATATCGCAAAGGTGTTGAACGCTAGAGTAATTTCTGTGAAAACTTAATTTGCTTTCACAGTCTCGGTGCCACATTTCAAAGAATTTTAACAGATAAGAACTGAACACGGTTTTGCGTTATACTTAGGGAAGTTAACTTCATAATATTATTAGGTAGTTTAAAAATATCAGATTTCATTATATAAGGTTGTTAGTTATTCTGTATGAACACCTTTTAATTGCCATCCTTAACACTTTTTTTCCTTTCTCTGTTTTTGATATCGCTGATTCTGAATCAGACTGATCGTAGTCGTTTTACAACAGCAGACTGTATCTGAGAATTGTAAGGTCAATTCTTTTTTTTAACTTTTTCCTGAAAGCTTTCATAAATTAATCAAACTTACCTGGTCATATATTAACATTAAGGCAACTCGAGTTCACCTAAGGCAAGTAAGTTATCTGTTGATTAAACAAGCTTGTCTGTGATAAAGTTGCTATGATTCTAATCTGACCCAGGAAAATCAGTGATCTTTCGTAAGAATTAGCCTTTAGATGATATAACGTCTCCTAATAGTACTGAAAGTAATTCTTCTTAATTCCAAGTCAACCTTGACATTTGAAGTAATTCATCATAACTTCAAGTTAGTCTTGACATTTGACTCAGTGCATCACAATTCTTAATTACCTTTGACATTTGAAGTAGTGCTTTAGAACTGAAACTAACTTTTGTTTATTTATCACGAGAAAAATTAAATATTGATCAAACGTTTTTCACACTAAATTGGATAAAACCGTGCGATATTAAATTTAATGTTAACGTATCATCTGCAGAGTCTGAATATACTATATTAAAACAATTGTGGAGTCTCACCACGGCATTACAATCCATGTTGCCACGTCTGGTCATGTTCTGTCTGACAATCGTACATCTTGACAGTATCTCTGCAGTATAATTTCCATTGCTGCAAAAAGGCTCTGTCATAAGGCTTTTTTCTCCAAAGCACTCCACTCATCCATGCATGCTTTCCACAATCCATCTAGGGTACAAAGATAGCGTTTCCCTAGTGCCGATTCCAATAGTTCAATCGCATAGAAATCCATAGGCCCAATTCCAGCTAATTGAGATATACAACAGTTGAAAGTATACTTCGTGGAAGCATCTTGTATACACGTGACTTGTGTCACTTTTTCAGGCAGGGGTACCTCTTGATTATGTTGCGTTATGTTGCCTGGGACACGTGGATGTGTTTTGCTATTGATTTTTGTGTTAATGGATTCTCACCTATGACAAGACACTACACTTTGTTTACCACGACTGGGATGCTACTAGTTGCAGGTCTTTTTTCCAATGCTATTAAATACAATGAATATTTTCATCTTAGACATTCTAAGTCCCCGATATGAACACATGGTTTGCGTACCCTTCCCAAAAGGGATCAATTTTTGGTGATGTCATACTACCTACAAAATGACACACAATGTCAAAATGCAGTTCTGATAGATTACGTTCCACTGCGACTTTATACTGGTTGTGGTTATTACGTGACTTGCTGACTTGCATATTAAAAATCGTTTTAGTATAACGTATTCAACCATTTCAACCCTCTGTATTAATAATCAGATGATTTTCAGTAATATTTCTCAAGGTTTTAATTGTCTTTCAGAAGCTTTTGAACACGAATTTTTCATTTCGTTTTTATACTGAGTTTTAAATTCTTGCTAGTGAGTCAGTCTTGTGTGGTAATGAATAAACCATGTTAAATGTCTGTCAGAAAAAACTTTATGAAATTAAGAAGTTTTTAGAACATGCTGGGTGAACATTTCTTGGGTGATGATATTTCAGTAACATTACTTTTGTCCTCCACATAGGTAAGCAAGGGTTTTGACACTTTGGTATTCAGGTACATGTCCAAAATAACCAAAAACACAGCAGATTTATCACAATTAAAGCAAAGAATGAATCGAACACAAACAGCCAAGATAAATTACAACGAACGCAAGTTAACAAATAATACAAAAATATTTATCCAGAAAGATTGTGTTTACGCGAGTTTCAACCTACTGGCCAGCTTCGTAATTGTCTGTGCTCCAACTTGCTGCTGGTGCTGGAGAGAATCTTTAGACGTCCTCACAGGACAAAGACAAAGATAGAAATAATTATTTTATGCCACGCTATCATATCAGACAGTGCGGTATACCATAACCTCAATGTGTACAAGCCACTGTGTATTCCAAATAACACAAATAGGGGGGACAACCTAATTCATACCAATTTCTGCAAGCAGTTATGTCACCTTTTGAGATGAGCTTAACTCCCACCCCCCCTCTACCCTAGAGTAGACACAGATACAATGCCAAAGTCATACGCGGAATTTGACTTCTTTTTTTTTTAGAGGGGGGTCATGAATAGGTAATAAGTACCGTAAAGGGTCTTTCCTTATGCCACCGTTGAGCTTGAAGGTGTTGTAAAATCCTGCTTTCAATACAGTACCGGTGGTTTTAAAAGTTTTTTTTAATAAAAAATTTGGAAATGTCCATTTCATCCTCGCTTAGAAGTTATCTAATAACATAACACAGAAGTTTTTCCATGCACTGTTACAGTTTGAAAATGATGAAATTCAATGTTTTAAATTAAGGAAAGCTCAGTATCATAATTCACTCTTATAATAGTTTTGGCTCACTGTCACATTAAGCGGTTACGTAGCGCTTGGCGCCAAAAATCTCGCGTTGTCTATTGTTATGAAGAGGCGGAAGCTGTAGCCAACAGTTGTAGCAAGCTAGTGGATGGAAAGTTTATGAATGACTTGTATGATGTGTGTAAACTACTGAAAACCTCTTTCTGTTTATGGAAGTGTGAGGGATTAAGGGTACAATACAACGCACCCGCTTGCCTCCATCAAATCTCATCATGTTAAGACAAAAGTCTCTAACTGTTACTATATGCAACCTTTACCTAAGTAAAACGATTAGCTCATACTTGAGATCTTTTGACATCCCGGTTAACAAGAATGTCGTCGTTACATGCAGCTCACCTGCACGAATATTTAGAACAATTACCTGGAAGGGTGAAATTGGTATCTTTTGCAGTTATGACAAAACATTTGTAGTAATTCTAGGAGTACAGTATTGTAGTATGTACAGTGTCTTCTCTATATATACACACAAACAAATTACACTCATACAGCGTTGGAAATAATTGTGGAAACTGGAATGAATTAAACAAATGGATATAGAATGCAAATATTATAGGATTGCTCTCCCTTTATTATATGAAAATGAACTACACCAGATTATCATATGTTGACAGTTGACGCTGTGATTGGCTGACATCCAACCAATCTGACAGTGCCACACTAGCATAATGCCTATAAAAGAACTGACAGTCATGCTGCACCCGGCACTGGCCCTAAGGACAGAAATGCAACATGACAAACGTACATAATTTATAGTTATGGCTATTGAAAACTACTTATTGTTTCAGTAGGAACTGTCTACAGACTTTGAAGAGAGTACGTGAAACTAATAATGTTGATAATAGAAACAGCCCAAAAGTCTTCACAACGGTTTTAAGTAACTCATTTTACATGATACATGGCAAACCAGTAAAGATATTACCAATAACCTCGCTTAAATACAGGTGTGAATGCTATCACTAGAACAGCAAGATTCACATTGGGAAGAAGTGACCTCAATGAATGCGTATCTGCTCAAAAACCGCAGCTTAGGAAAAGATAACCAAACCAAAAAAGCTGAGATGAGCATCACACATCAAAAAATGGGATGAGAAAAATCGAGAGGGTATTCTGTGCAGTTGAATCCAAAGTAACATTGCTTGGCAACAACCAACCATAATTTGTTTGATGGCATAGAGAAGAATGGTATTGTGGTCAGCGTATAAAATACACCGTGAAGCAAGAAACTGTGATAGGAGTGGGGGACCAATACAAGTGTGTACTGTATCTCAGCTAATGATGTTGGGGCTCTTCATCCTGTTTGCTAGAGACTCATTTTCCAACAAGACAGTTATCCCAAGAATTAACCAAATGTTGTGAAACGATACCCGGAGATAAAAAGAGGCTGGTGGAAAACTCGAAACCATTTATCGGACTGAACAAAGTCTCAATATGAACAGTGTTAAACAGCAATACGACTTGCCTGAATCGTGAAGAATAATACGAGACATTTGGAACAATATTTTACATTTATAAATTTATAACAGCATAAATTCGTATTATACAACTTATAGGAAATACAAAGCACTGGCGCAATGGATAACTAAACCCTTTTAGTTTGAATTTTCTGTAATAATATGTCGTCCTACAGATAAACTGACCAGTTAGTTGCAATTACTCATTGAGTATGACCCCTATATTTGTGTTTCCTTAATTCTTGGGCCTGGCATGGCCTGATGGTTAAGGTTTTCAATCTACATTGTGCTGGTCGCGGGTTCGATTCCTGTCATTGAACATGTTCGCCATTTCAGTCGTGTGGGGCTTTATAATGTGACGGTCAATCCCACTAGTCGTTGGTAAGGAATAGCCCAAGAGTTGGCGGTGGGTAGTGTTGACTAGTTGCCTTCCCTCTAGTCTATCACCTCAAAATTAGAAACGGCTAATTCAAGTAGCTCTCGAGAAACTTTGCGCGAAATTAAACAACATAAAAAACATAATCATAGTATGTTACTCTGTTATTTAATGTGGAGATAGTGGTGGAAATAATCCTTAGTGATTATATTTGCTGTTACGTTAAATAAAATATTGTTACATAAATAAAAATGCAACATTTTATTGGTCACAAGCAAGCTGAAATTCCTTTTCTTGAAGAATAAGCTAGTGATGTTAACTAAGGTAAATTAAGAGGAAAAGTTAAATCGATGTATCGTATGCGCGTGTAAGTCTGGAAACTCTGGCGTTTTGTCTAGAAAGTCAGGTAAAAATAGAAAAGAAATATAACCACTCTACATATGTACGTATCTATATCACTGTAGTAGACAAATATGTTTATAAATATATTTTTCTCTTTTCAGATTTACTCCATCTACCGATGTAATTGGCAGTTAACCAAACAGCTTGGAATATTCTTGGTAGCACTATATTTTGTTTTCCTAGTAATATTTAGCCTTCTAGAGTTCAACATTGTTGGGAACCTTAATCCACCTATGTGTCCAGAGTGACGACGATTCCCGAAGAAATGATGATGATGATGAAAGGAATGATTATGGAACATCAGAAAGAATTTGTTCTTTATTTCAGCGAGTAATCCTGATTCTGTAAAGATAGAATATCGTTATGCCTCTTGTTTGCGTGTACAACGAAACCGAAAATTAAATGGACAGTAATATCTGTGAGACTTTTACGCTCGTGTTTTCAAAATTACTCTCAACAGAAACGGAAAAAAGACAACCGTGTGATTACAGAAACGGAAAAAAAAGACAACTGTATGTTTACAGAAAGATTCGTTGAAGAAATGTTACCCGCATGCGAATTTATTCTAGTTTGATGTAATAGTTGGATGGACATTTCGGAAAGAAGTGGCGTGTATTTTGAACTGCGTAGATGAGGAGGTATTTAAACTACTAGAAACAGCTTATTTGCATACAACTTTCTATCTGTCGAAGTAAGAATCTGCAAAAGCTCACATTACGTTAAATTTTCAGTATAAATAAAATTGCTTTAGAGTTAAAATTCTCCTCTTATTTATATATCTTACAACGCAATACAGCGCTCCTATTGGATTATTGTACATGTATCGTGATTAGATGTTAAATACAGCGCTCCTATTGGATTATTGTACATGTATCGTGATTAGATGTTAAATACAGCGCTCCTATTGGATTATTGTACATGTATCGTGATTAGATGTTAAATCTCGTTAGTTGTTATTGAAACGTTCAGGGTCTATAGTGAACACATTGTTGTTCAAGTTTTATAGTGAACACATTGTTGTTCAAGTTCTTTAGTGAACACATTGTTTCCCTGTGATGTGTATGTTCAAATTAAATCTCAACGTATTTCTAAACTTAGCTAAAAAAAACCACTGTGGTACGAAACGTTGTCAATATTGAAACATCTTTTTTTCGTGTTACAAGTTGTTTTTTTCTACTTTCTGTTTTCATATTTCTAAAATTGCAAACCTTAAGTTGATAAGAAGTCAACACGCAATTTAGAGCAATATTCAGTATGATGTAAACTTTGACACTTTACGTGCACAGTGGTCATCAGAATAGCCGATCCTGTTAAGTGAGTTCAATTATTGTCTTACTCTTATATTTAGATTATAAATAAATATATTTGCAAACCATGTGTATTGGCATGCTTCATTAACAATTTACAAAAGTACACTGACGAGTCTGATGATGCAGTGCCGCATCAGGAAACTTTATAGTTCATTATTCAATTGTAGCTAGGATTCATTGACCTTCAAGATAACCGCTCTATGAATTGTTAACTGTTATTTTATAGTTTGAACACGAGGAGGCTTGAGATTACTTTTAGCTTAGTAAACGTTGTAATACATTCAGAATAAAAAATAAAACGAAAACTATTAAATATAATTAGAATATATAACAGGCTGGAGTACACCAGCAACAGTATAGGTGGTTTTGTTGTACTAGTTGACCTATATCAGAATAAATCAGCAAGCATATCTTACGTATTACGAATTTGAAATATTCCGAAGCCGATATTTTAGTTAATTTATGCTATTTGCCAACAAGATTGATACA